TCTCAGATAATTTTTCCTGAATTTCTGTTATTCCGTTTTTTAAACCTGTCTAACCAGCCATTCGAGCACATGAAAGTAGTCTCATAAAAACATTTAGCAAATTCATCCACATTTGTCCAGATACAGGAAAATTGCGGCTTCTTCGAATGGTGAACCACTTCAGTAATGCTTCTTCATCATCCTTGTGATCTGCTTTTCTCAACTTATTCTGCCATCTAAATTTTTTTCATGAGCAGAAATTATTAATTGCCTATTTTTCCATATGTTACAAACTTCAGATTTGGATAGTTTATATTCCCTGAAAATATCAAAAAAATGAAGAAAAAAAATCAGTCGAAGACAGAAAAAAGTTCATTATATCAAACTTTCTCACTTTTTTGGTTCACTATATCCACAAAAAATGACATTATGTGTGTATAGCAAGGCAAGGGACTGAACATTTGGTTCACTATATATATATACCAGCCCGGAAATCCTATCTCCACGCAATATTTAAAATTCAAAGATAACAACTTGCTCCGAACAGTGAATAAATATTTTCTAGCATAGTGTTTTAATGTATGATTCTTGGTTTAGTAAACTCGATTTTTATGGTTTTCAATCACCACTGCTTCTGAATAAATCAAAGGCTCATGCTAAATGCCACTTTATAACAGTTATTTTGTGTTGAGCCTTCTTAAAAGTTGGCAAAATTGAAAGGAAATCTGTAAATTTTAGTTCATAGTTATGTACAGTTTCTCAAAATATTTTTTAACCGAATCCTGAGCAGTTGGTAATGAAAGTGGTAGCAAAACATTGATTAGAGTTAAAACATTTTACGAAAAAGCATAGAAATTTAAAAAACGAAACTGGTATTATTTTCATTGAAAAGTGCTTAAATTTTGTATATTAAGACGCAAAAAAGTTTCTGACATGAAAAATATCAAAAGAAATATAATGATGCATTTATGCAACATTGGCCTAATGATTAGACAGATTAATTAGTTTTTTTAAGGCATTTGTGTTCAAAATTCCCTGAAGAAATTGAAAAAGGAGACAACTATCATGATCAGTGGTCAGAAAAACTCCATTATTTTTGTAGTTTACAACAACTATTTCGTTACATATGTAGTTAACTACAACTACCTTTCTTTTAATTGTTGTGACTACAAACTACTTTGAAATTTAGTAACTACTTCACTCATTTAAAGAGACGAACTTTCATTGAGAACTTAATTTATACCCTTGTTCAATATGATTTTTAATAAGAAACTGGCTCACATTAAATATAAGGGAGTAGTTACGAATTACTTACTCATGTTCATATGAACCAGTTTTTTTTCCCAATTTTTTTTCTTTCTTTAGAATTTGTTCATTTAAACTTCATTTTTATATGCCTTTTTATGAAAGGAATATTTATTTTAAGAAATGCAAAACAATCAAATACTTCCAGTTTATTTGATTATTTAATGTTCTTTTATTTCCTCTAAGATATTAAGTACATCGAAAATATCTTCCCTACCTTTGAAATAACATGAGGACGAAAGACATTGACAGCTAAGCATTCTCCACCACACCAAATGCGATATAATAGTAAATTTGGTGGGGGGTAAAAATAAATAAGGGATAAACAAGATTGTATTTTGTCGAAAGTATTGGCGTGTGGTTTTTTCCACTGGAACGGAAATATATTTTTTACTCAAAAATATATATTATCCTCAAAATTACATCAAATTTATTTTTCCAAACAAATCAGTACTTTTTGTTCGATTACAGTAATTTTCGGTAGATGCACCGCATACCAATTAGAATTGGGTCCAAATAACATAAACCTGCAACAAACTACAGTAAAATAGTTCCCTATGGGAAAAAATTAATTATAAAAAATTGTTAAGATTTGCATTTGGAGAACTTTTGAAAATTGGCGAAAAGTATTCACATTTGGCTAATTTACTGGCTAATATTTTGAAATTCTTAGAGCTGGCCCTTATTTCAGATTTTAGTTTATGATGGGACCCAAGTCTGCGGGTTCGATCCCCGGCCCAGACACCAGATTTTCGTGATGCAGAAAATCCTCAGCGGGCCATGTCGTATGATTATGCGGCATGTAAAAGATCGCTGGAGTGCCTTATTGGCTCTAGGCAAAATTAAATTCCTAGTGCACTTTAGCATCCAAACAGAGTCTCGGTGCTGCCATCTAGTGCGGCAGAAACTAGACGTCCAAATTAACATGGCCAATGGTATCTCACCCATTGTGGTGGTCCTGAAAGAGTGGATACCACTTCTGGAGAACGCACTAGGTCTACTCATCGGGATTACTGATTGTGCAGCTCATTGGAAATTAAAAAAAATATAGAAAAAAGTTTATGGTGGGATACGTTAAAGACAGATGTTTTTGTCTTAAGTGTTAAGTTCAAGGTTGCAGACAAGTGTATATAATCATATACTCTCATTTTAAACTTGCCTATTCAGACCAGAAATAAAAGAAATTAAGAATATCATTTTGAAAGGAAAAAAAACTATAGCATTCCGAAAAAAACTAATTTCAGATTTGAAACTTCCACTCCAAATTTATGAAAAATTTAAATACTTGTCTACATGCAACAAAATAAAATTGTTCCCCAATGTAATTAATTGGTTTGTCCATTAATTCAGCAACTTATTTAATAACAGCGTATTTAATGAAACTAAAATTGCCTGCTTACGTCTCCTAGACCTTGAATGATCCGATTTACGACAACAGCAGTGTAACCCCATCTGGCGACCAATGGCGTCAGCAAGTAAACAATGGCTGTCAAAAGTATTCCTCCGCCATAAACATATTTAGCACCAACTTTTTCAGCTAATATTCCTCCGATCAATTGGGTAGCTATGTTACCATAGAAATATGAACCCAGAATATGAGATTGTGCTCTGATATCCCAATTGTAATGTTCTCCCTAAAAACAGAAAAAAGTTGGTTAGAATGAGAAAAAAAAACTGCTTTTTTTATGTTTTTGAAAAAAAATAATAATAGTTAATAAAAGTACACTGTTTATTCAGAGATATTTTAGTATAGGAAAATTATAAAAGTAAGAAAAATTTATTTTATTTTTTTCTTTTATGAAAGGAGTAAAAAATAAACATTTTCTAACTGCCACTCCTTATTAAAAGTTGTAATCAATGTTTTTTTTTTTGGTAAACTCTTATTTATATTATAGATTGCTTTCTTATAATTATTCTTACCATAGTAGTCAAAATATATTACTAATTACACAAGTTTTGAACTTCAATACTTAAAACATTTTTAACTAACCTCTATTTTCTAAAAAGCATGAAATTCAAATATGTCTCTTTACTTAAAGTATACGGTGTACAATCATTAAATAGCTGTCAGTTTAAAATTTTAATCAAAGATTGCTCATTTAAGTGCGTTTGACGAGCTTATATTAAGTGATTTAGTGCTTATATTCAACAGAATTTTAATGTTCTTGGGATACAAAAGGTTAAACCTAGCATCATTAGAAAAACCGGTGATTTTAGGAGATAAATTCACATGACATAAGGTTTAATAATGATAACATTGTGGAGTAAGTAAACGATATGTTACTGTGAATGACCGAAATTGTTGGGTGTTGACTTCTATCTGTGAATGTTGATAATCACATAGCCGCTTTGGTAAATGTCCGAAATATGTATATACTAGGTCAAGTTAAGTGCCACTACCCAGTATACTCTACACTGATGTTTTTTTAAGGTTTCGTGCCACTACCCGATATGCCCTATATCAATGTTTCTTTACACGTTGAACGCCACGCTAATTTTACACTGTAAATGACTACGAACTAAATTTGCAAATAATAACAGATTTTGCTAGTTTTTAAAAGGTTTAGCATGACATATCATTATTTAGTGGTGAATTATATATGCCTACGAATTGCTTAAAAATAGTGGTGGATAAAANATAGCTGTCAGTTTAAAATTTTAATCAAAGATTGCTCATTTAAGTGCGTTTGACGTGCGTATATTAAATGATTCAGTGCTTATATTCAACAGCATTTTAAAGTTCTTGGAGTACAAAGGGTTAAACCCAGCATCATTCAAAAAAATCGGTGATTTCAGGACATAAATTCACATGACATAAGGTTTAATAAAGATAACATAGTGGAGTAAATAAACGATATGTTACTTTGAATGACCGAAATTGGTGATTGTTGTCTTCTATCTGTGAATGTTGATATATAAACACATAGCCGCTTTGGTAAATGTCCGAAATATATACTAGGTCAAGTTAAGTGCCACTACCCAGTATGCTCTACACTGATGTTTTTTTAAGGTTTCGTGCCACTACCCGATATGCCCTATATCAATGTTTCTTTACACGTTGAACGCCACGCTAATTTTACACTGTAAATGACTACGAACTAAATTTGCAAATAATAACAGATTTTGCTAGTTTTTAAAAGGTTTAGCATGACATATCATTATTTAGTGGTGAATTATATATGCCTACGAATTGCTTAAAAATAGTGGTGAATAAAAATCTACTAAATTGAATTTATTAAACCAAGAATCACAATAATTAAGTAAATATTGAATAAATTTTCTGCAATTCCAAAGGTCTGAGTCAGCAAGCGGTGGTTGACGCAGCCTAAATGAAATTCCAGTGTCAGTCACAGGTGATATTGACGCGACCTAAATGTAATTTCAGTCTCAGCCACCGGTGGTAGACGCGGCCTAAACGTAATTTCAGTGTCAGCAACCTGTGGTTGACGCTGCCTAAATGGAAAGTCCAGTGTCAGACACCGATAGCAGACGCGGGGCTCAACGTGTTAAGGTCGCGTGCCACTGCTCAATATGCATTTAATCGGCACATCGAACACTGATGCTTCTCCTAATCTATCCTCTGCAGATATTAAAATATGGAATAAATATAATAATACCGACCAATAAACTAATATCAAATCGGATATAACAAATATCTCGGTCATTCGCCAAAGCGACTGTGTGATTGTTAACATTCACCGGTGAAAGTCGACATTCTCTTGTTTTCGGTTATTCACGGAAACATGTACATGTCAGACTAAATCCCTATTGCGGAGCGCATGACGTGTATACACGTCATGTAAAATAAAAATTGCTATTCACTATCAAGATTCGAAATTTTCATGAAATGAAAAAAAAAAAAAATTTTTTTTTTTCGTTGTATGTTTATTTTATATCACAAGCCGAACTACTAAATATTTTATATTGAGTGGCGATAGTAGTGGAAAGAATCGTGGGCTGAAACTAACTTTTTTTTTAACCTATGAACTATTTGTCACTAACTTTTTTTAAATATCTTCGGTAATAAAACAGTCATATGTAACTGTTAAAGAAATCTTGGTAGTAAGATTTTCGTAACATTTATAATAGGGCCATTTGCACTGCGTTTTACATGTATAAATACACGTCACTGCTTGGTTTTCACGAGATACCCGCAAGTGACGTAGTGTTGGGATTCTCGAGAGACTGATTGCTTGTTGAAACGAGGCATTTGTTTACGTTAGCAGCTCTTCTTTCCATTCTATTTCGAGTAAGCCATGCCCATCAAGTATCAATTCTATTAAATGACGCGCATTCTATATTCTTTCACAAAGATTTTAATTCTTTCACTATATATTTCTTACTTAACACAAAGACAGGTATAAAGCCATGTACAACATAAACAAATAGATCATGCATCCAAGTTGTCAGATACACAAAACAAAAATATATCACTGTTACAATAAAATAAGAAAATAAAAAATCTGTGCTAGATAAAAGACGTAGACGTGAATGAATTACATTTCAACTCATTCAATGCGTGATGCGGCGATTTATATAAATAACCTCACGTTAATTAACATTCTAACTCATACGGTGAAACTTATGAGGAGAAACACTTAGCTCAACTTTAACACGCCATTTTACTTATGAACAATCAGCTGGCACAGATTCAATACATCTTTTTAAATTTCAAGTACCCAATTACACACACTTGGAAGGATTTCTAAAATTAAATCCAGGTTAATTGGTCAATTATTATCTGTTCATTATTATTCACTCAATTCTGAATTGCACACTAAAAATACTGAGAAAGTGGAGAATAATAAAATTAATTAAAAACGACCAAACTGAGCAACTTTTAATTGTATATTTTTTCCGTTCCCTATTGAAAGTGAATATGAAGAGTATTTTTGTTTTAAATGTGAATAGTTTGAAATGTAAAGTTGGTACAATTGATGGCCTAGAATAACAGAAGCCGTAAGCAAAAGGTTAAATCCGTGCTTAATTGGTTAAAAACACCTATTGAGAGCTTTTCTTCTTCTCATAAGTACAAATCACGCCGTGTCGACATTTTTATGCACGAATTTTGACATTTTCAACGTGCATTTTTGTTCAACATTTAAACCTCTTTCATTTTTTAAAAGTTCTGTCTAAAATATAATTGTTCGTGCTGCTACATTCTGTTGACCACAAATGTTTAGTTTCTCCAAAATAAATTTCAAGAATAGAGAAAAAGCGCTACAAGTTTTTATTTATATTTACAAAATTCATCAATTTTATAGTGCCATCATTTTATTTTGGAGTCCTATTTAAATTATAAAAAGTGGTTTGAAAACTCCAATCTTTTTCGTTAATTTTAGTAAAATAAGAAAATGGCAAAATATCCTTGTTAACTTACTTACATTTTTTCTAAAACTGACAAGTGCTTCATATATACATAGTTTTCAAGTGTGAGCTAAAAGTTAAATATTTTGTTAGCGTTATAGTTACAACTGATACACTTTTTAGATTTCTTTCCCGTCAAACGTGCTATGGAAGAAAGCTAGAAAAAAAATTAAATATGATAAGCAATAAATAACACTGAGGATTATTTTCTCTGTTACAATCGATTTTGAAACAGTTCTTTCAGATGTTTTCACGTCGCTGATTTCGTATCTGAAATTCGTTTCTCTTAACGAGCTACATTTTTTATGTAATTTAATAATGCATTCCTAACCAAGATTTTCTAGAATTGCCTAAAGTGAAGAAGCAGAAAAGAGTCTCCACTTTTTTACTACGTGGAAACTAGCAAAAAAAGCAATAAAATATTTTCGTTTACGATGTGATATGTGGTCAAAATTATTTACTAAAAAATTCCATTACTAAAAAAATTCCTTTGTTAAATTATATAATTTTTCCATGTGCAAATCCATTTCGGGCAAATCCGTGGCTAAAATTATGTACAAAACAGGCAATTCTTGTTCCTCTTTTCTACTTTTTTCTTAAATAAATATTTATTTTCTAAAATTATTTATGGTTAACTTCCTTAAATTATCCCGTATAATATTACCTTGCGCACATCCATTTCGGGCCCATCCTTGGTAACTTATAAATCAAACGCACTTTAGCAATGCAGTAATGCAGCAATCTGGCAATCTTGTTGCGAAAATCTTTTTATTAAAATCGTTCTTGAAAAATTTCCCGTTCATGTAAGTACATTTGAATTCGCAACTCGCTTTATAGTTAATGTTTTTTTCTTTTTATCTTATTTTATTTTCTGTTCTTACGTGTTATATTTTTATTTATTTTTACTTATTGTGTTCGATTTTATTTGTTGTATTTCTTGTAAAAAAATTTTTTGGGTGATCCTCACACTATTGTATTAATATATTTTGCTTTGGCTATATTGATACAATATCAGAAAGCACCCTTTTTGCGGATATAATCGTGTGGGCTTATGAAAAGATCATATCCCTTATTTTCCGAATTTTTTAAAAAATTTCGTGTTTTTTTTCCCCCAGTTGTTTGTTATTTTTTTATTATTATTTTTCTTTCCCCCCCTTTTTCTCATATGTCTATAATTTTCCTTTGTTTTATCTTCATTTTGAACTTAAATGAACCCTGCATTAAACTAAATGGCTATTTTCTACTGCCAGCCACCAATTCATATCAAAAAATTCCAGTTACTTATGTTCTAAATCTAGTCCCAGAAACCTAAATCATTAAATAATTATAATGAAAGAGAACATTTTTAATTCTCTTAGATAAATAATAAAACTGAAACACTTATCCAAGCACAATTTTATGTTTGTGGAAAAAAGGAAACTGTCCTATACCATAAACACAACGCAGGGTGCTAACAGGTTAAATGGGTTGAATTAGCAGGTTGGTTGATAATAGGAAAAGGATTTNACAATGATAGATAACAATGATTGATTGCTGACTCTGTGCTAGGCACTATGCTGACTTCATATATATATATGTTTTATATATATATATATATATATATGTATATATATATATTCATAAAAAATTGTTTCCCAATGTAATATTTTAATTTAATAAAAGTCATTTTTATGCAAAAATGATAATTCTTCGGTTCAACAGTTTGAATAAAATGTATGTTTTTTTTTATCCTGTATAAATCAGACTTACTTTGTATTCCATGTCCACTCTGCTTGTTTTATTGTAATATTCAAAATTGGGACATCCTGTTATGCTATTCGAAGAGCTGTTTCTTTCGGTCCATATAGCTGTTTGGTTCACCATTGCGACAATACCGACACTTATGCTTGTCCGAATAGCGTACATGCTCGTCGTCCCCACGAGAGCAACAAAAACAAAAATATATCTTTTTGGAAAATAAAACTCGATCCATTCTAAGGAAAAGAAAAATAACACTATGAGATAAATTAAGAAATACAACGGTTAGCATCATGTAATTCTTTGAAGTTGATTACTAATGAAAATCCACATCTTAAATTTTTCAGGATTCTCTCACACTGCTATTAATGAAATTATAGACGATATTCAGATGGAAACAACAAACAGGATTATTTATTTGAATCAAAATAAACTATTTTAAAATAACGTAAGATGAAATTTGTCGAGTCGACCAGCGATCTAAATTGACCTCTATTATCAGGACATGAGTTTAACTTATATAATAGAATGAAGCAAAACATTTGTAACCAGACCACTGGTCTATCTTGTATGTTGATCACTTAAGTAAATCAAATTTGTCTAATTAAGGAAGAACACCAATTGGATTTTGATAGAGCGGTACAGTTGGAAATGTCTTGTCTTGGTGAGGGAAGTGTTAATACCAATGGAATATTTCATCCATAGTCAATGGTTTTCGGGATAATCGCATTTAAAAAAAGGAGAGCCATTTCCTCATAGGATTCATATTTAATCCTTGTTCTCCAGTACGATGTAATTGCAGGCAGAAACATTACACGGATTTCTGACTGTACTTTTTCTGTCACTAGAGGAACACCAAGATTAAAGCGGTTAAATCAAAAGTCTTTTCCGTTCTATGTTCAAATATGATTGTACTATCTAGAGGTTTCATTTATATCAGGATAATTGGTTTGTTTTCCCATTTTTTTCATGATAAGTAGATGAACTGCTATTTTACACTCTGTGTTTCTCGCATCTTCTGTTCACGAATCCAATATTTGAAATAGGCTTAAGAAGGAAGAAAATAGAATAAAAAATATTTTTCTCAGAAGCATTAGCAATACGTATGAATACCTTTATTAACATGACCTAATTCTAAGCTGCTCTTAGCAGAGAAAAGGAAAACATGGGCTGGGCCTATGGGAGAAGACCCATAGATGCTTAACCATGATGAATTATAGCAGTAGTTAAGGTACGTGCTCCTTCGGAAAGGGTGGCATTCACCTCTGTGACATACGAAGACTGGCCCAGCTCTGAGGATGATGTTAACGGTAAATCTTCAAGCCATAATGTGATCATTAAAAAATTCATGGTAGCTAAATTAATTGCAAGAGATTTAGCTAAACATTTTGAGGAACCAGAGATGGAAGATTCAACATTTCAAGAAGGAGTCATTAGTCATAGTTTGTTCAAGTCAGTGTTAGAGTTGTTTGGATCCATTTATATATTGATGTAGAGTCACAATACTAATAACGAGTTAGATAAAAAAGTAGCAGAAGAAGACCCAGAACCTCTAATAAAAATGCAAGTTAAGGTCAATACAAGAGACACGGAGTATCAGAAGAAATAAGGAAAGAAACAATCGATGCATATGAAGCAGTTACAAAAACAATAAATCGTGGGATACGTAACACCGTTGCAAAAAAAATCAAAATCATAAAATAAGCGATCTCAGCGATAGCTGGTCGATTCGAATTCCGCATTCGGCTCGCACCGACCACAGTGCTGACGTAAAATATCCTCAGGGGTAGACGAATCATGAATTAGAGTTCCCTTGCCGTCAGGCTAACCGTGGAAAGTTTTCGCAGGCATTCTCTCCATGTAATCAATGCTGGTTAGTTGCATCAAAAAGTCCTCCACGAAGGCAAATGTCTTTCAATACTTGATCTAGGATGTGAAATGTCTGCTTTTAAATAAACTGCTAACTTTTTTGCATCAGCACACGTGTATTTTTTTTAAAAATTTAGACCATCTGGACCAAAATAAATGAGACAAGAAGGAATGAATATAAAGGTTCATAGAAATTTAAATATTGCACATACAAAAAAAAACTATTTTTCTATTATTGATCAGAAATATTTTCTTATTCCATTTACATTGTTTTTTCTGTCTTGAACAGGGAATTCATGACGCAAAATATAATTTCTTAATTATAATTCTTCTCTTATTATTGCATCTTTATACTGAATGCACTTGTATTTAAAATCTTTGTCTTGCACAATTCACAATCTTCACTAAATTTTAGAAAAAGGAAAAAGTGCAACGCGTAAGCGTAACAAAATGCGAATACTAAATTTACTAGTTCCTTATATTTCTCAAAACGGACCCTATATGTTTAAAAAAAATATAAAACAATAGAATAAATTCTACAGGAAAAATAATTAACAATATTATCCTTTGTTTTCAAGTGACCCATAAAATATAAAATACTTAAAGTATAAAAAATATAAAGTATAAAAGTAAAAATATATAAAATAAATAAATCTTCAAAACTGTAAGAACCAAAGAAAAAGACTAGAAAAAAAAGACTATGATGGCAAAGTCAGAAAGAATAGCGGTAGTACCTATACTATCGAGTTAAAAAAGAAAATAAGATTAAATGAGTCAGCAATATATTTCTGACCAACCGCCATTAAGTAAAAATTGAGATCGCTTAATTGCGGTCACTGGCTACCCAATGGTCAAATGCTTTTCTTTTCTGGATTGACTCCGATAAACGCCACAACATTTCAAATCATGGGTTGCAAAAACTGTTTCAATTGATGTTTGTCGTCAGATTGATTTTCAAATCCTGCCTGCATACATGTTTCAAGACGTCGCAAAATACATTTCCTTCTTCAGTATTTATATTTATATTAAAATCACCGTCAAGACAGTAATTATACGTTAATAATGAAAATAATATAAAAATACTTTAAATTATTGTTATGATAATACATTGAAAATGCCTATTGGTGAAAATAAAAATAGGAATTCTAAAAAAAATATCAAATAGCAGCGATCGCCATAGCAACGCATGAAATGACGCGCACTGCTTACTATTACTCTCGAACACAGTTGAAAAGTGTGATGACGTCCAAATAAGATGCACACGCCATCAAACCCAAAACAACACCCATTTTGCCAATGGGTATAAAACAAACATATTACATGAGTTAATAATTAAAATGGTTTGAAGAAATAGATTGGAATTATACATTGATTGCTTTTATAAACGTAACTACGCAACTGTATGCGTTTAAGCAAAAAAAAAAAAGGAAAAAAAAAGAATCACGGGCATCCCATTGAACAAAAATGTGTCTAATAACACACTGGTTTGCCTTATTGATTCCTGAATTTTCACTTTCCTGTAACTGTCCCAGCGATTTTATTGTAATTTTGTATAATTTAAATTTACATATCTTAGAATGACGTAAAATTTTGCATTAATAATTCAAAATGTTTTCGATTATTAATTAATAAAACGACAAAAAAGTACTAAACAATTAAATTATTTATTAATTCAGTTTTGGTCAAACGAGTTTCATAATTGTATTTTGATCCGTCCGATTAAAAAAGACTTTAACCATTGGGACTCTGGATAGGCTTTACAGTTACCTCCCCCTCCCCTATTTTGAAAATCCCAAACCTCTGAAAAAAGCATCGTTTATTCAGACAAAGTAGTGTTTTGTGTCTGTTTTAATAATTTATTAACCCCTTAACTGCCGCGGGCGTATATATACGTCTCGGCCAGACAATGCGTTAACTGCCGCAGGCGTATATATACGCTTTCCCGAAGTACGATGCTTTGCATTGCGCTGCTATAAATAGAACTACACCCCCTACTTCAGAATGCAGTAAAATGGCCTTGAAAGTGTTTGCTTTGCGAATGTATTACTAATTTCGGAGGAGGGGGAATGGGAAAAGGATGTTATGGAAAAGTGATATCGTATTAATCGCTTGTGTGTATTTATTTGAGTAAGGTCGGGTTTATTCTTTTTTCGCTTTTGTTTCCCGTATGTATTTGGTGCTTTTTATTCTTTCCATCAACGTCTTCAAAGAAAAATGCATCGCGAAAATGTGCTGTTTGTTCAAGAAAAAAAATTCGTCGTGAATCCCGCTATCAGTGCGATGAATGTGATGTTGGTTTATGTGTCCAACCATGTTTCAGGATTTATCATACAACAGCTAAGTTTTAACATCTTTTATATTGTATTTTTATTATTTAATTTAAATTTTGTACTTTCATTCTTTCCTATTTCTTGTTTTTAAATTACAAAGCGTGCATCATTTTCTCCACCAAAGCACCGTGTAAGAAAAAAACCGTGGCACTGGGGAGTGAATCACGTTAATTTTACTCGGCAGTTAAGGGGTTTGATACCATATTTGCTATCAACAATTTGTATCATAAGATTGGCTCCCATGGGTGAAAGCCCTTATATAGCAAGACGGAAAAGAGAAAAACCTGGTACGTAAAACATTTCATTCCAGCATTTTTTTCGAAAAAAATGAAATATCTGTAACTATCAAGATTTCTTTTATAATTCTGGCATATATATAAAACTGCTTCTTTTCCAAGATAAAGTAGATATTGTTGAAAAATTTAAAAAAAGAATAAGTAAACTCCTCCCCAAAACTAGCTATAACTGGAAAGGTTTTACTACCAGCCTTTCCTCGTTTCCGTCTCGCTTTCACCCCTGTTGGCTCCTAATTCGTGAAAACCCGATTATTAGAAAGTCATTTGTTGAGGTAATCGTTTTTCGCTACAAAAAACAGAGTCTAGCATTTGTCTGTAAAAAATTTAAAAAAACTGTTAGTAAAACTATTTCTTTTGTACCCTTTTTCCGGGTGAAGCTAACTGGATAGAACTACTACTATTTCTTAGCGCATACATTTTGTTTGTTAGCCTATATTTCGCATATATCTATAGCATATATTTGTTAGAGCTACTGCATACACAATAAATATAGAAGTATATTTCCTCCTAGTAGTAGAAGTCACGAAGAATATGCCTTTCTCGAAATGAAGGTAGAAAAAAATGTTCTACAATATATTCGATAAGAACAATCTTGATGAATATAATTTCATACCAACCACTTTCGGAAGGGTCGTCGAGATAAATATTTTTTAGGGTTTACAACAGTGCAACCTAAAATTTAATCTAATATCTACCACTAAATAATAATAATAATGTGGTTTATATAAATTAATAATATTGATTAAATAATATTATATTTGCCACTTCAAACTGGGCGCAGGCCTGAAAGCGGGACGGAAAAGAGAAAAATACTGGTAGAAGAACTATTTCAATATTAAATAATACTCGGGAGGAGTTAATCTATTCTCTTTAATAAAAATTCACTGTTAGGAAATTTATCATGGCGAAGAAGCAATTCGATATAAAAATTGCATCCGTTAAAAACAATTGGTAGTTATGGATTTTTATTATTCCCGGAATAACACAAAAAAATGAAATTTATTTGTTACCAGTTTTTACACTTTTCCGTCTCGATATATATATGGGCTTTCAGCCCTGACTGGTGGTAGAGAAATATATTTCTTATGGGTACCTAAATTACAATTAGTCTAGGATAGGAATTAAATAGGAATTTTACAACCTAAAATTTAATTTTTAATGTTTCAATGAGTTTTGCTAGACTCACTACGGCAAGTCAATAAATTAAATTTATATGCATAAAATTGATTAATTTCGGTATAATGTAAAATTCTCAAAGGTAAAAATCAAAATGTTCTTATACGGAGAGTATAGGAAATGGAACCTTTCACCAAATTATAATTTTAAGTTTTACTTTCTATTACAATGAAAAGCTATCTCTCAATCATAAATATGTTGGTCAGTCAGTTTTATAATATTTTTTTTTATAAAATTAAAGTAAAATCAGTTCAATCCGAAACATAATTTCATACAAAAACTAAAATGTTTTTGCAATAATTAGAATAATAATAATCATAAGCAATACCATACCTTGGTTTTTCATTTAAAGAAATTCCGATGTCTGATTCATAAATGATCTTTATTTCTGAAAATGCATTAAACTGGTTTCGAAATAAAACAACCCTTTTAACTCTAGAATTCCTTTAACTAAACAGAATTACGACAAGAAATTTTAAATTTGTCCAGACTAAGGTTTTGAAAGAGAATGATAGAGGTGTTAGTTACCACACTTCCGGTAATCACATTTGGCAGTGTTATCCTGAAATCGTGCTTTATTACTCGACTAAAGAAATTATAGTAATAGTGTTTTTGAAAGTATTTCGCCAAGCAAAATAAAAATATTAGAGTTAAAGTACCTTACACTTTAGACAAAGCAAGAATTTATACTATATCTATCATATTGCGCTAAAAAATTATCTGAGCTTTTTAACGGACAAACAGTTTTAATATTTTAAAAGACAGATATTTAATTTTTAAATAAACAAACAACAAAAGAAATGCCAATTCGGTGGAATTTTTCGTCCTAGATAAAAATTATCAAAATCAATTAAAAATTCCATGAACATAAATAATTAATTTTTTAAATATTCAAAATTAGATAGCATACCCTAATAATTTTGGCAAAACTGAGCTTTTCTTCGTATAGGAATTTTGCGACAATTTCAGAATTACTATGGAGAGCGCTTGCATAAAAATATATAAACTAAGAACCTAACAGTCGTGAATGACTGTTGCAAACTTAAATCAATTATGAAAATGCTATTTATTATATAACCGATCTAATTTTAAATTTAGACTACTAATGTTAAACTCTGTAGACTTGTAATTTTAAACCCAATCCAGAAAACAAGGGAACACCTAGATTAAGTATAAGAAAGAATTTGCTTTCGCCAAGGTCTTTTTAATGAAACTAGCCCTCCTTTGCGTTAAATAGAGAGGTAATCCACGTAAACCTCTCATGGTTAACCTGACGACAAAGAGACTCTAACTCACGATCCGTCTACCAATGGGGATATTTTAAGTCAGTACTGCGGTCGGTGTGAAGCATTAGCGGAATTCGTATTGATCAGCCATCGCTGGGATTTAAACCCGGGTCTCACCTCATTTGGAGGCTCATTTGGACGCTCTATTCCCTGAGCCACCAGGGCTCTAATTATGAAAAGTGTAGTGCATGGTTAGTATAAGTAATAGCATTTTATTCCGATAGATAGCGCTCGGTTAAGTTTAATTAAGTGGAAATGATATAATACGCCGTAGATTCTATGAAATTAAATCAAAAATATTTCTTGAAAGATACTTTTATATGATTTTTAAGTATCTAGCAAATCTAACTCTTTTCGACTACACATTTTGGTTCTGGTTTTAAGCAATAGCGATGTCTGACATAGCTAAGTATTTTTCTTATTTGAAACATTTACGAAAGGATTATTATGAAATTTTCGACACAATTTACACTTTTAATTATGAAATTTATTTGCGACTGTCAGTCGCCCAGCTGTAAATCAGTTACATAATTTGTTTTCAAAATTAAATAATACATTTTGTTATATAATATTTTGTTTTCAAAATTATTTAGTAAATACTGATTTTTATAGATTACAGTTCATCATTATTTTTAAAAGTAAACATTTCTGTAAGTAAAAATCAAATCTAGCGATTTTTATCAGTTTAAAAAGGCGTGATACAGTCATATATATGAAAAATTTAATTTTATCAAGAAATATTTGATCGAATGAGTTCACCATTTCGATCGATTGAGTATTCTACCATTTAAAAATGCGTTTTTTCAAGCGAATCCTGGCATTTTATTTTATTTTATAACCGTTGATGAACGCCTTGTAATTTTGCATCTATTCCAAAAGACTCTTGGATCAAGTATTGAGAGCCTTCATGGAGAACTTTTTGATCTAACTAACACGCATTTGCGTTACCTGGAGAGAAAAACTAAAAAAAGTCCCACGGTTAGACGGCAAGAGGAGTCTAACCCGTAATCCACTGAGGGTATTTTACGTCAGCATTGTGGTTGGTGTGAGCTGGGTTTGGAATTCGTATCGACCAGTCATCGCTGGGATTCGAACCTGGTCACCTCATAGGAAGGTTAACGCGCTATTCCCTGAGCCACCACGGCTCTCCCCCAATATTTAATAAAATAATGTAAAGTAATAATTAATGATATAAAGTAATAATTAATAATAAACAAATTTTATAAAAGCGGGATCGCTTATCGCTTATCGGTTCGCTTATCAAACATGAAAAAAAAATTTTTTTTTTTAAAAAATGAAAAGAAATATAGAAAATGAAAAAGTATAGTAACAATTAAAGCAGGTGAAAATGGATGTAGTACAGAAGTATTTAACGAAAAAAAAACAGGTTGAATCATTAGGCAGCTCATTCATATATCTGGTACTCTTTAGTATTAATTATCATTAACCACTTGGGAACGGGTGATTCAGAAAAGCATTCGTACAAAATCAGAATCAAGTTGTAATTAAATAAAAAACGGTAACTTAAATGTAGTCGTTGCTAATTAGACAGAATTACTTTGCTTTTACTTTAATTATTGTTAGTTTAATCATACATATAATCAATGTTAATTCAAAGTATAACTAAATAGTTTTATTTTGAACTAAGTATTGGTGAATTAAATAAATTAAACAATTATAACCCCGCCCACAAATAAACTGCTAAAGAACTACTTTGGTTACCAGTTTTATCTTTTTACCCTGATTGATACGGTTTTATGCTGTCACGTATTTGTGAGAATCTGTGCGAAAGGGTGAAAATCAAAATAATACTCCAAATTAATATATTAAATGCTTGAATTGACAAGCATTACTAAAACAAATAAATGTTGAACTGGTTGTTTGTTTATAAGAATTGATAGCTTTCATCATCCGTTTCTTTTAAATTCATATCTCAATTTGTTTAAGTTCATTGTTGTCAACACGCAATAGGTTTTGTGTTAATAGGGAGATTTCTCACTTTTACGATAGCTTCTACAAGCTCCCGAGTCTAAGATTGAAGCAACTGTTTATTTCAGGTGCTACGCATCTTTACGCTATGTTGGTGCGATTTACACTATAAAGACAAAGATACAAGCACGCTATTTGTAGCAGTTAAATGTTATTTTCTGTTTAAGCCTCTCTTCGAACTAAAAACATGGACCTGGAATGCGAATTTGAAGAAATGTATTCATGAATATTAGAAATGAATCGTGTGATCTTACAATTGGTTCATTCAATAAGAATATAATTGTATTCGCTTATTTCAACATTATGGTTATATTATTTTAACATTATATATTTTCGCTATTTCAAAATTATAAATTATATTTATTTCAACTATACAAGTTAGTTAAAGTTAAATAATCAATAGAAGTTCAATAATATTCTTTTAAATAATAATAATAAGCTGCATTTTTTATCGCTGAATTCATCTATAATCTACCAAATTTTTCTGCACCCAGATCCGCAATTTTACGAATAGCAAAGCATTCTGAATCGTGTTCTTCTGCTTTAAAAAAATAGTTTACATCCATTGTGAATGTTTGTTTTGATTTTGTGGACAAAGTTAAGATTCTACAATTAAAGTTGATATTTCACTACGTTACCGTTTCTAATTTACGAATGTTTGCTAAATCTCTTCACTTACGTAAATTTGATATTTCTTCACGGATGCGTGCGCATTTCATCAGAGCTGACGCATGCGCAGATCTTTGATTATTAATTCTGAAACGGACTGGATATGTACTACCAAATTGAAATAAATGAACAATTCGACAGACCTTTTTTTAATTATACTGTTATTGCGACATGATTTCAATAAATATATGAGATACAATTTAGTAGAATGCAGTTTTTCCTCCAAGAAGAGGTGGGTGGGATGTAACTCTGTTTAGATATAAATTTAAAATAAAATATTAAGAGTTCTCATGTAGGCTCATTTAAGTCGTCAACATGTATCACATTATCTGGATACATTTCTGGTTTCTTCAAATCACTCTTTGTTGATTCCCATGGCTGTAATTCAGCAGTTCCAAATACCGCAAATAAAGTACCACTCACTAAGTAGACACCAGCCGCTGTGTAGAAGACATTACTCCAGTTAGCTAGAGTAGGCTGAAAATAAAGTAAACATAAAACTTTTTAATACGGAACCAATTTTATTTTGTAAACTTTTAGTGTACGTTACACGCTTAGCGTGATTTTGAAAAATGCCGCCAACACCAAAATGACACGCTGACGCTTGCCACTAACGCCAAAATGTCGTTTTTACGATTCTTACCAGAAAATAGCTTGGACAAATATATACACATACCATGAGAAAAGCATATAAATCATAAATTAATAAACATAACAGGAAGAGACAAGCATTTATATAGGAAGAGACAAGCATTAATATGAATTTCAAGTATTGAAAAATTATAAAAATCATTAATCCATTGTTAAGCTCACTAATTTTTAAATCTCAAGTTCAAAAATCTCATCATGAAATCCAAAATGCTAAATGGCAGCAACAACCCCCAGAATCTCGGCAAATCTGTTAGTATGGATTGCAAACTTTATCACTTTTCAAACATTGCCACAGTAGCTGAATCCACCGTGTTACGGATACCACCCTTATGGAACTGAAACGCGGTTTTTGGATTCGAATTTTTCGTACCCGTTCTATCGCTATTCGATGGTGACCAGTTTCCTGGATGTAATAGGTGGTTGACTGAATGTAAAAAATAACAAGCTTTCCAAAACCGGAAAAAATTTAGAGAACTTCCGGTGTATCTCTCCTCTAATGTTATGCTAACGAAAGCCTAATATTCTAGAACAGCCTAATATTCTAGAAAGTTTAATTAATGTGATTTGTGTTTAAATTTGCGCGTAATTTTAACATTCGTAAGAGTTTTGCAGACAAACTTCGTACGGGAAGTATAAACTTTGTTTTTCAATCATTTTTAACTTTTATGTGTGAGTAATTCTACAAATAAACGCCAATTAGGCGGCCAAAAAAAAATTGGTGGGCACACTATTTCTACATGAATTTTCTTCTTTTTTACACCCTAAAAAGGCAAGAAAAAATCGTGAACATGAAATTGTTTCTTTGTGATATACATTAAATGTGACATACTCTTTCTGACATACTCAGATAAATCTGAGCCATTTATTCAGATAAAACGATTTTTACATAAATATAATATTATTATACTCTCTAAAATGTATTTATAGAGATTTCATACTA